CCGGTCAAAGAAACTGGAAAAGCATGAATCGTTTTGGAATATTATAGCATTTTTCAGGATCGAAGGGCTGATAGAGTTACTCCCTTCGTACAGGTACATTTCAATAACATCAATTTTTTATAATGAGACATCCACACCGATTGCCCGAGCTGCCCTTGGTATGCAGTTAAATTAGGCGCCTTTCAAGTCAGTTTGTCGCTTATTCACTTCATTACTTTAACTTTTTTGGAGCTACAAAAGAAGTGCAAAAAAGTAAGCGATGTGGAATTGCTCCCTTTCTACACAGCATAATTTCTTCCTGGTTCTGATTTCGGTCAGTTTCTCTGAAATGCTCTGTTCCCTCGGCAAACAAGCGACTGTTCCCCTCCCGTCTTTCCAGTTTCAGCTCGCTATGCACTGCCGTACTAACAGCTGGAGCTATTATAAACATAGCGAATTCTCTACGTTAAAGGGTATTGTGATGTAGCTAACTATTCCACAAAAGAGCTGCATCAGAGTTCAGCCATTCAAGTAAAGATTCCAGAAAACATGCCAAATTTTCGCGTTTCTGTACGTTAAGACATAAGTACGTGTGAAGCCCCTTAGCTTCTGTGGTTCCTGAGTTATTAATTTAAGTTTCAAAACCTTCACTTGACCGTACGTAGGACTCAGGCGCGCTCGAATGCTAAATTTAAGTTTGTGGGATCACACATGGACAGGGATCCCTTAAAATTTTAGCTTCATAGCTCTACTATACCTGAGTTGAAATCCCCGGATGAAATGCACTTGGAACACATACACACAGACAGAGTAGGCTTTTTGCGCAACTGTTGTAGCGCAAAACAAATAATGAGTCAAAACAAGTGACAACCTCAAAAAAATCTATTAATAAAGAAAACTGGCTTGAAATAATGCTGGCGGCAGAACAGGTGTCCACTCCTCTCATAACATTTTCCGTACAGAGGAGCAATGCAAATGGAACAACGAACGCAGCTTTCGTGAAGAAACCAATCGCATATCTGAAATTATTATTGGCCAGCATATCATAATGGTCACCAGACGAAGCAGCATTGGCTAGAGCATCTGCAATGGTTGCTAGCTGCATAGCTGAAAAGTTTCACATGGATTGCAGTTTATCAAAGTAAGTAAATAGGCAAGTAAGGAGATCGGAACAAGTAAGTAAATGGAAAAAGTAAGTGGTAAATAAATAACCACGCAATGCCGAATTGATCAGAGTGATTAAGTAAGGTATTGCTCCTTATTATTTCCTCTGACTCGATGGACCCCGGACAGTAGAACTGTGATTACTTTAGATTTATGTATTTCAATTATATTCAAGTGATTTGTTGATACGAAAGAAAAATCTCCTGTGCACACAAAGGATTGCTGCTAACATCGATACAACTAAGCATCCATTTTGGTGAAATCGGCAATTTTTAATTGAAAAGTTATGGTTATGTAGGCATAGAAGGAATTTGTGCAGATTTTTGTGAACACATTTCTTTTTTTTCCTTCTTCTCGACAAGCAGTCCCGTTTTTGTCACCACTTTCTTCACATACATATATTTGGTACGCGTATTAGTGAATGGTGCTCGTAGGAAAGTGAACGACCACTCGGATGGTCGCCGAAAAGGTGATACAAATAAATCGAACAGGCGGCAGGTAATAACTAAAGCTGTGCAGCCCAGAATCGAAAGACCTGGCAGAGCTGCAACCGGCTTATGGACACATCCCAGGGATAGCTCTCACTGATTGCCTGGACAGCCTCGATGTTCACTGTTTTGTTTCATTAATTTTATTCATATTCTTTCACGTAGTAACACACCTAATTTTGCTTTTAGCATCGTTGTGCTTACCTTTAGCATGAATTGTCCTGTAATTGGCAACTGGCAGCCTTTGCAGATGACCTGTAAAATATCAGCAATGTAAATTAAACTCGAGTGTTAGGGAGCTGTAGAAGTTGTCAAAGTACGTTTAGGAAACCGCAAAATTGTTGAGAATGCCGCAGCATTTATCATCCCGAACTGAGAAAAGACATATTTGAGTTGAAGCTAATAAACGACAAAAGAACAATTTTTCCATATTTTTGGA